GTTTCAATTGATTTTCTGATTTTCATATGCAGGCATCCTCTGAACAATTATCTGACGTTCTAGTAACCAAACTAAGAGAAGATAGCTATCATATCACGTAAGAATATCTTCTCTTCCCTAATTCTTACATTTTCTATTACTGGTGTTTGTGTATCATCCTAAAGAATAGCAACAAAACAGCTGATAAATCAAAAATCGAATTTAAGTAGTAAACATGCTTACAGGATGAAGTTGACCAATTTCATATTTTTTTATTTCCTGATGGGCATATGAGCTATGTGGTTTTTTTTCAAAAGGGATCGATGCATCTTTCCCATGATGTTTTCTCAATATTTGTTGTCCACCCGGATGCTAAAAGAAACAGATAGAATAATGTATTGATCAGTAACGAAGTATCGACTAACCGCAAGAAGAAATCGGGTCACATCGTGCACATGATTGTTGATTATCAAAATACATTTATTTTGATCCTGAGCAAGTTCACAAACTTCCGCCATAGTAAAAATTTTGCTGTCATTATTGCTTGCCATTGATGCCGGTCACAGGTATGATGAAGAGAAAAGACACAATGTAGATCTACAATGATGATACAATGATCCATGTTCTCGCGAAACGGAGTGCAAGTTTTGATTTTGAAAATGTTAGAACCATTTTTTTTTCTAAAGTCCTACTCTCGAATTATTTGCAAAACAAGCGTCTTTTATTAAGTTTTTTCGTTCATACACTGAAGATAAAACATTAAGCCAAAAATGGTGCAAACATTTTCAAAGTTTGTAATATAAGATTGATTTTCTGTGAAATTAAGATGAGACACTCTAAAAAATGGAGGCACATAAAATATATAAACAAGACAATTTATTTGTTTACGCAATTCAATTGTCAATTGATGAGCGATTTTAGACATTTACCTCTGCAAATCTTCTCTTATTGATTGATATACGCCAATGAGTTAAATGTCTGGCATCTGCTTTGTCAAGATATTTTAACTAATTTACGAGCTATACTTATTCTGAACATGAATGTACTTCGATATGAATAGCACGTATCAAGTAAATGTATGCAATTAAATAATTTTCAATTTCTTCTTTTGATAATTTACTTTTTTTTTTAAACCGTAAGTTATATTTAAAAAAAATATGGAGTTAATGAAAAAGAAAAATAAGAAAATTTTTTTATCAAACATGTTTTCTAAATGCGTAGTATTCATATCGATGTACATTCATTTCCAGAATAAAGGTTGTTCGCTAGGATAATACTATCTAGAAAAAAAAATCAATGATATATATAAGGCGAAAAAAAATGAAATAAATAATATAGTTTTTATGGTCAAAGAACTGTATATCTCGTCAAAAATAACTTAATCAAAAAAAAAAAGAAGAGAAAGATGTATGAATTTGAGCAAAACTTCTTTCATAGTTCGATAAGTCTTTACTGCACAAGTAGTACATCGAAATTAGGGGTATTCCTTTGCTGTTAAAATAAAATAGAATAAGTTATACTTTGTAATTTATGAAATTGAAAATTAAATGAAATTATCCTGGTGCTTTGCAATGTTTCATGTAACAAACATATCTATATGTGAAGTAACTACAGCAAAATCAATCGCCACGGCGAATAAACAATTGCCACGACTAATGATATGATATGATAAACTACAATTCATCGGAATGCAAACCAATGAGATAATGGTAAATAATAAAACATCTTTATGAAGGGCGAAACGATCGACATAGTACTCCATAATAATAACAATGACCCCTAAACAAATATATTATCGAAAGCAGCTAATATAGTGAATTTTGAAACAATTCAGTTGTATTACGAAAAGCTTCAGATCTCATCATCTTAACTGTATGATCTTATAAAACTGTTCCTTGATTCATCGTTTCAGAGTTACTTCGGCTTTAATCAAGGATGTTAGATCTTTCAATATAGCAGTAACAAATTCGATTTTTGGACTTTGAAACTATTGCCAGATTCTACTTTCTTCCAGTATTTAATTTAAATATAACATATCACTATGTACATACTGTGAAAAATACATTAACATGAAATGAACTTTAGTTTTTTTTTTCTTTCATTTGAGTATCTTGAAATTCATGTATATCATGAAATATCTCTTACAAAGATGAATAACTTCTATACAATAAGTCTTGGTACAACACGAAAACTCATATTACTCAACTTTGGAAAGCTTTTTTTCGAATTGGAACATATGTTATAAAATCTGTTGCTAAAAATGCTTTTATACAAGCAAAAATTTACTTTTTGAATGATGTACTTGACTCGGAAAAACTTTAAATGAATTGTCATTACTATATTCTGACTATAGCTCAAATAAATTTCTGCACAACTGTCCGTTTTACGGTGGGTGTGAGTGAACGCAAAGAAAAGATCCACATCTACACTCATCCTTATTTCAACATGTGTTATAAACTTCATACATTCACTCAATCTAATTTAGGGTGTAGGTATGATTGTTAAAAAAAAAGGAACATTCACACTTTTACTATATATCCTATCATCAGATAAAAGAGATCGGTCAATGACAGGTACACAGTTGAGGATGATAGCAAAAACAGCACTGAAAAAGCAACATACTAATTGAAGGTGATGACTAATTCATTGGAATATGATTTTCTTTTATTACAATTAAAATGTATTAGGGTGTGGGTGTGAGTGTTGTTATTCAAACTGAAAGAGGTCATTTACACCCACACCCTAGCTGCTAGATAACAGCGAATATAATTATTGTTACATTCAATTGGTTCACACACACAACTGAAATAACGCATAAGTTGAGCTGGGTCATTATCAAGGATATTGACAGATACTGATTGATTGAATAAGCTGACTTGTCTTGTTTATATAATGGCCATACCACTTATCTATATTGCGCTTTGAAGATTGAAAATTTATCTGATATTTATGAACTTTTATGAACATAATATGTTTCTTCTTTCTCAGAGTTGCAAAGTTCCGAAGTACTCTGTGTGCAAAAATTCCGATGATCCTTCATTTTAATCTTTGTTTCTCATTTGTTCGTGACTTTTTATTCCTTATATTTGTGGACATTCATATCCTATTCTTTGCTGCAGATTATCATAGAGACTGAATCAATATACTTTACAAAAACAAATCGCGTGTCAAGAAAAAACAATAACACAATGTTGAGGTTATTATTTCTTTAATTTTTTCCATAGAAATCTCTGAAATTTGAATAAGGCATTATTGCTTATTTTTGGTGAATTCCTCACCAAACAACTAGAGAAACACGCAAATTCCACTTCTATCATGCATCTTTATTCAAAACGTTGGGTTTGTTAAGTAAGTTGATAGGATCCCTTTACACTTTTTCAATATGATTTATGAGTTTAAATTCTGATTGATTTGCACAAAATGAAAGAAAAAAATCAACGAATTTGCGCGATGAAACTCTTACAAAAACAAACTTCTTATAATACTCTATTAAATTGCTTTTATCTTAAACACAGACATGTATCCAACAGTGATTTATCAACCAACATCATCTGTAACAACACAAACGTACAGTTATAATAATCATCATGAGTCTTAAACATCCACACAACAACCTAAGAAAATATCAGTGACCAGCAATAGTCAGAGAAATGAATTTATCATGTCGAATACTAGAGCAATTCGCCATGAATTTGATCAAATAAAGGGTAATATGAAGCAACTAAAATGACAACAAACACACCGTCACATTAACTAATAAAATCAAGTTATCCGAACAATGTCTTTTCAATGTATATCTCAATTTTACCAAATAGTCCATATAGACTATCCTCGCAAAATTCAATGTACTATCATAATGAATGTAAAGCTAAATTAGTGAAGGAACTTCTCCTCAGTATGCAATATACAGACCAAAAACGAATATCACAACTTATCAGGACAGTTACAATCGAGAATAGTCCTCTCCAGCAGCTGCCAGCTACGTGTAGTATTCAATACACCAGGATCGACCGACAATATTAAAAGAACTTCAAAAGAACTATCCACCATTATCATCTGCTGTTGAAATTCGTCCAAATTGGATACTACCATTGTCTAAAAATATTTATCCATATCGACGATGAAACCTCGGTGCACATTATTCGAATCTGTGAATAGCGATCATGAAAATAAAATCCACAGGAACATCAGCATGCTACTCTTCGATCGTTAATAAAGATAAGTTTCTTAATCAAGCGATATGTTCCAATATCTATATGTTTCCTATCCTCGAATGAGTACGAATCGACCAAAAAAAAGACTGTATTTCTAGAGTAGAGTAATTTCGAAACTATTTCACATAGGATCGAATGGTTTGGAAGCATCTAGAAAATAGTTATTTTCTATTCGCATATTTTGAATATCGTAATTTAGGAAACAAGCTTTCAATTTTCATATAGTGCATTGATTTTTTCTTAAATTTTAAAAAATGAGAAAAGAAAATTTATCATTCCATAGCAGTACAACTTGTCTTATGTTTAAACTTGAACATATCATGTCCTCTATATTGGCTTATCATGACATACCATGTTCCAACAAATCGATGTTTGCTCGGATTTCAACAAACTTGAATTGTAACACTATGTCCAAGATTCTATGTGGGATTGCCTGCTTCCATCTGATATGTCTTCTGAAGTTCGATTCTGTTAGTTTTGGTTGAGTAAATAGCTTCAATGGTGTACGCACCAAGCTCATCAACTCCAGAACTTATCACTGTCAATGTTTCAGGATTGAACGACATTGACAGTTGATAAGATCCATACCGTCATCCATAGTGGTCATACCGACTAAACCATCTACCCGATACGAACTTAATAAGATTCTGCTTATCAATCATAGTTGGCGATGAATTGACATAGGTATGATTGTATTGTCATGGTGTACCACGCCGCCAAACCCACATATTATAAATAAAGTGATTCCTATAGAGATCCACTTTTTAATTTGTTCTTTATGCATACAAGCATCGTCTGCACACGTATTTTCTTGGAGCTTGAGACGAGCTAGAATTAGTTAAATTTCCATTTAATTTTTTCGAAATGAAACAACTAAAGAAATAGTATGAGCAGTCATTGCAATTGAATTTTCTAGTTTTCAAAAAATCTAAATGATTTCTTCTTTCACTAAACTCGACATGTTCACTTTATTGCCTTTTACAGCTTGGAAAATATAACTATAGATAAACAGTGGTTTGAAAAATGTAAAAGCTTTAATTCCTCAATAATTATCTTTTTTTTTGCCTGAGATCATTTTTATTGCTTTAGTCGCATAAGACAAATATAGAACTTAATTAGAAATTTTCTTTTAAAAGATATTCTTTAATAGTTCTAATGTTAGATGCAAACCGATGTTGAGATACGAACTTCACTAATAATACGAAAACTTTTGGTTACATAAAATTTGACAATTACATAACGTAAGGTTCAGATATATGTTCAGAAAATTCATATGTCCATTCGACGGATAACTGTGGAAAAATTTTCAAATGTTTTGATACTTTACAGTAAATAAAGGCTTATTTCTTAAAATATGGATGTTTGTGCCGCTTTTACTTTCTTTTCTTTCACCTGCTTCTTGACAATGAACAACTATCGTAAACGCTATAACGAATAACAATAAATAATTGATGATATGCATCGTTCTTGCTCAGTTCAAAACCGTTTGCGGCAATTTCAATAATATTCCGTCGCTGTACTCTGAAGTAAACACTTATAATTACTGAAATTGAAGACTAATACATCTCGTCGACATCCTCAACGTATATATATATGTTGCAAGCAAAATTAAAATTCAGTCAAATTTTAAATTTGCCTAGTCAAAATTGAAATTTCTTTTTTGATGAGCAGAAAAAGGTAAAGAAAGACGACAAGGATGTGGTTGTAAATTTAGGAAATCATCTCACTCACACCCACACCCTACCCTTTAGATGTTGATTCATTTGCTTGACGAGTTATATGGAATCTTAAACTTAAATATCAAATCAGTCGTACAACTGTATTATCAACTCTTCATCTTGATGAAGTTGATATGTTGAGTGATCGTTTATCAATAATTTCATCGAGTGAATTACAAGGTTTTGGTACAACAATGTATTTAAAAGATAAATATGGTGAAGATTGTAATTTAATTATTGAATTAATATCAATATCAGACGAAAATAATCTTAGACGACAACAGCAGAAAGTAATTATTCATTTTTAGAATTTTATATATTGTTATTAGAGAACATTACGAGTCATTTCAAATCCAGATCGAGTTCGGATCTTAAGTTTTAGCTTTTGTCAGATTCAATTTCAAACTCGCCTTGCATTCATCTTCGAGTATGAATAGAATAGCACACTGAGGTTGGCTTAACCGGGTACAGCATTTCGACTTACACAGAAGATACAAAATACTTGCGGACAAATAACTCTGGTATAGACCCGGTTGCAACAATATCTACAAAAAATGTGAATCTACAAGTCTCTAATCGTCATTATTTGTTTTTTTAGGATTCAACAAATGATGCACTCGATCCAATCAATATAAAATTGAATATAATTAATTCTACTACAAATTCTACTCTGCGTTTTAGACGTTTAACAGAATTTCTTAAATCTATGTGTCTGATATACGTATAAAAGAAGAACATGGTGATCAAATCACTTATGTTATAATTGATGATGTTGAACATACAAAAATATTTTCAAAAATGCTTGCTGATCTTGATGAAAATAGAAATCGATATCCTATTAAAAGTTATAGTCTATCAAATAGTAGTCTTGAACAAGCTTTCTTCGTGTAGCTGATGAAAAAAAAATGACCTGAAGATTACAAACGTTTATCACGTTTGAAAAAAATGAAAATTCATATTAAGAAATTGGTTTAGAAGAAATCAAACGAAAGAAGAACAAAATGAAGATGAAACCGATGATGAAAAAGAAAATAATAATGATCAAAAACAATTTAATGAATATTTAAGTGATATAATTAAAGATGAAATAGTTCTTTTTATTTTCAATATATAGAAATATTCGGATTAGATTTAAATTTTGTTTATTTCATTAAATGAAGAAAATAATATCGTAAATATGACTGAAGAAAAGTAGTGAATATTCTCTTAGACGAACATAGGTATGCAATGAATCCGAACCGTTCTGGCTCTGGTTCGGTCTTGGGTTGAGTTATTTTCAATTAATTAAAAAAATGCAGTATAAATAAGTCAGCCGAATGGATTTCATGAATGAATATAATAGACCTACACACAATGCAAAAAAAATTGATATAAAAACTCAAGGGATACAGGCATCCTTAAAGAAAATCAACGATGTTTTCATCATCGTTCATATAGCTCAAGAAATTCTTAGATAACTCTTTGAACACTCGATGCTATCTTGAATTATGTAATTGAAGATAGTTTCCGAAGCAGTGTTCAGATTTAGTGTATAATTTAGAAAAAAACTTAGTTCAAGTTTTTCAATAGCATTCTGACTTAAATTTTTCTAAGAAATTGTTTTCTAAATGAATTTTATTCTGAATATATTAACAAAAAATTCTAAAATATCTTGTACAACAAATATTATTGATTTCACAGAAAAAAAATTACAAGATTAACTATATCATTATTGAACAATGTCCTTTTTAAAAAGAAATACATTATGAAGAGTTAATTATTTAATAATTGTTTTTAGACGAATGAAGTTTCTATGCCAATGAACGTTATATTGGTATATGTTATTTAGCTGTACAAGCAAGTGGATTATTCAAAAAACGATTTCATCGCACAAAGCGTAATATCAAAGTATTATTGTTTGAAATTCTTCTTCCAATTATATTCGTTGTGCTTGCTGTATTAGTTATTAAATTAGCATCAGATGACAGTGATCCATCACGTCTTATTCTTCATTCATGATATTGGGGTAAATCAAATTATATGTTTTAATCAATATCTATTAATCAAAGTTCATTATTATCGAAATTTATTCAACAAACATTTACTCAATCACCATCGTTAGGTACACGTTGTATGACATCAACAGTGTTAGATACACAATTGTATTCGTGTGATTCGACAGATATTGGTTATGGTCAAGCATCAATAAGTAAAGATATAATGAATGCACTAAATAATGTTGACTATAATCAAACACATATATCACCAAAATGTAATTGTTGGTAAACAATGCAAACATGTCCAATCGGTGCTGGTGGTCCACTACGAAGTTTTGATATAACAGAAACAAGAGATACGTTATATCGTTTATTGGGCTATAAAATAAGTGATTGGTTTGTAACATTAAAATAAAAAACAAAATATTATTTAAAGAAAAATATAATTAGTTTTTTTCTTTGTTTAGGATAGTAAAAACAGAATTACTTGAAGAATATTTAATAAAACGTTTTGGTGGTTTTAAATTTTTATCAGAAAATGATTTGAATAGTATTGATCTTTTAAATGAAACATTGATAAATAAATTAATTCAATGCAATTACTCAAACAAAACAATCAACATCAATGATTGATGCAGCTAAAATTGCTGCTCTCTTTCGGGTATATACACCACAAGTTTCGATAAATAACTTTAGTTAAATTTTATTATTCATATTGACTATTAGACTTGTATCTCCTAGGATGAGGATCTTCAATTTAAATTCACAAGCTATTCTACAATAAAAACATCGGTCTAATCATTACATTTGCTATTCCTGTCGTCACTTGTTCATCATGTTTTCTTTTACGACTAGGAAAGATGTGAGTGGAACCTATCAAGTTGACCCCGGATCCGACGAGCTTTCGCCTTCTGAGAAATATTCATGATACGCTAGCCATTAGATACAAAAAAATCAACAAAAAAATGGATCTCGCATCTTTGAGGCCACTATCATATTTCAATTAGAACATTTGATTGAGAGTATCAAATTACAGTTCAATCCAAGCCGGGTTCTACAGTTTTTGTACGTGACGGGTTTCAAGTGTGGGCGAATTGTACACACAACCACACTCTAAGCAGAAGTTCTGCTTACTAGTTATCTATATTCTATTTAAGATTTGGTACAATAATAAAGGATGGCCAGCAGGTATAACATTTGCAAATGTATTTAATAATGCATTATTACGTGGTGTACTTCTTCAAAAAAATTCTTCAATATCAATTGCTGATTACGGTATAACAACTATATGTCATCCATTACCAGAAACACCATTTGAAATTGATAATAATATACAAGATATTATTATTATTGAATTATTAACAGCTATATGTGTTATATTTGCATTAGCATTTATTCCTGCAAGTTTTCTTGTTTTTCTTATTGATGAACATTCAACAACATCAAAACATTTATAATTTATTAGTGGTGTTAAAGGTAATTAAAATTGTTAAAAACTAAATAGAAAAAAAATCTTTTCTTTTTTGAAGGTATAACTTATTGGTTGGCAAATTTTCTTTGGGACTTAATAAATTATTGTGTATCAAAAGCATGTTGTATTATTAGATTCGTTGTTTTATCTTATTATTATTTTTATATGGTTTTGCATTAATATCATTAATGTATTCAACAAATTATTTATTGGTTTAATGACAATAATGTCAACAATAATATTAGAAAATTTTCAAGATCAATCAAATTTAGCAATAGTTCATAAAATTTTGACAAAATTATTTTTTATATTTCCACATTATTTTCTCGGACGAGGTTTATTTGATGTTGAGTATAACTTATGAAAAGAATGTAATTAGTCTTAAATATAGTTAGTTGTTGATTCTTGCTTTTTTGCTCTTGAGATTTTCTAGTTATAAATGTGTGTTTTATAGTTCCGCATTATTTTCACATATCACCATTTCAATTTGATATCGTTGGTCGAAAAGTAATGTGTTTATCTATTGAAGGTTTTGTCTTTTTTATATTTGCAATACTTGTTCACTATCGATTTTTTTTTCTTGATCGGTAAGAACATTACATTAGCATATTTTAATCGAATTTTATTAATATTTAGTGGTAGTATTCGTATACCAAAAGATTTAATATCACCAAATGAAGATGATGATTTAGCTACAGAACGACGAAGAATTTATTTGGATCATGATAATATAAGTGGTAATACTTTACGTATTATTGATTTAGTTATGAATATGAAAATATGAAAACTTTTTTTTCATTATTCATAGATTTATGGATGGAGATTTGGAAAAAAATTATAGCTGTTAACCAAGGTGAATGTTTTGGTTTATTAGGTATTAATGGTTCAGGAAAATCAACATCATTTAAAATGTTAACGGAAGAAATTTCAATGACACATGAAAATGCATTTGTCAATAATTATATAGTGTTATTCAACAATTAGATGCTGTTCATCCAAATTTAGGGTATAGGACAAAAGAAAAACGAAAAAGACTATTTGTTACTATTAGATTGTTTATGCTTTTTGTTTTTAGTTATTGTTCACAGTTTGATGTACTTGATTCTTTATTAACAGCACGCGAACATCTTTATCTTCATGCTTGTTTACGTGGAATTAAAAGAAAAGGAATATTTCATTTGTAAGTTTGTTGTCATCATACTTTATAGACATGTTGATAGTATATTAGATTATTAACCAAGCAGAAGAAATCTATCGGGTTTTGATTCAAAAAAAAATGAATAAATTATTCGTGTTGTAGAAAAATTAATGGAGTCAGCATAAACATAGGATATGTTATGTTTAGTATTAATTGATCTTAGTACCAACATTAGCCAATACGATGATCTCAATATTGTATTTGTCTGTTGAATATATTCATATTGAAAATCACATGAGTATTTTGCTTATATAAGCATAGGTTTATATCATCTCTCACGAATACTGCACCTGTACCTATTATAGATTCAGTGTTAATGTATCTAAATTGACACGAAAGGATAAAAAGAAAAGATCATTTTTAGATTACTGAATGTTTATTAAAACACCTTGGTCTTCCACTTTGGGCTCATCGACATACAAAAAACAATATTGTAATGGTAATAAACGTAAATTATTAACAGCTATTTCATTGATAGGTAACCCATCCATAATCTTTATGGATGTAAGTTTAAAATTAAATATTTTCTATACAAAAGAACATAATTAATATTCATTATTAGAAACCAACAACTGGAATGGATGCATGTGCAAAAAGATTTCTATGGAATTGTATATTAACATTAACTCGTAAAGATCATAAATTAGTTATAATAACATTCCATCCAATGGAAGAATGTAAACCATTATGCAAACGTATCAAGACTTAATCCTTTTTCGTTTGAATGTATTAGTCTTTTTGTTTTAGGTCTTGCTATAATGGTTAGTGGAGAATTCAAATGTCTTGGTAGCGTACAATGTTTAAAAACAAAGTAAAATTTGATCGATTGTTTAATACTTTTTCTTCCAGATATTCTTTATGTGATTTTGTTTAAAAGTTTGGCCATGATTATAGTATACTTGTTTGATCAGATATTAATAGTGATACGAAAAATATTATTAATTATATAAAAGAACGAATAGCAAAAACTGATGTAAAAGAAGAACATAATAAAATGATACATTTTTGTGTATCAACAAATGTTCCATTAAATAAATTGTTTGCCGTTTTAGAAAAAGCACGAGAAGAATTAGGAAATATAATTGAAGATTATACAGTTACACAAGTAACACTTGATGATATATTTGTTAATTTTGCTAAAATACAAGAAAATCAATTATCAGAAAACTTTAATGTTAATAATGAAAACATTTATTTTAAAAGGAACTTTTTATATGAATTATTTTATAGAAAAGATAAAAATATTATTGGTAAGTGAAATGTGTAATATAAGTTTTCAATAGAAAATAATTAGTTGAATTTTATTTTATAGAGTCAATCGAACTTTAATGTACTATTAGATGGTATGTAGTTATATTTTATAATTTGTTTTGATCTAATTCAGATGATATTATTTTTTTCATTGATGGTGGAAGAATTTCAGAAAGGTTTTCAAGAATACTTTAGAATTCTCTCTGAAACATCATCATATTCTCAAGAGTATATTTGTAAATAAAATAAATGAGTTTATTCTATTTCTTTTAGGTATACAATAAATTCGCTCAATGACAAGTACTCGAGTTGATTTTTCTTTGATTAAGTTTGTAATAAAAAATCAGATGAAGTTATGATATTGTTTTCCATTTTTTTCATTACTAGGAAAATTTATGCATGTACTATGTACTTGATTTTAAGATGAAATTTTAGATCAGATTTTAAAGTTTTCACTCTAATAAAATATTATTACTGTTAAATAATAAAGAATCATGCTACTCGTCAATTATTATCGAAAGTTCACTGAACTTTCGCCAACTCTTGCAAAACAATATGAATCTAGCATACGAGTAAGCACTGTGTCAAATTTTATGAACATCTATCTTCATGTTTGTATTCATGGTGAATATGGATCTGGGTATACTGCAGTCTCCCACCAACATCCAAGTCACACTCTCATATCGATATGAATCGGCTTCATATATCGATGTTAACCTGTGATGAAAGTATTAACTTTTCAGTTGCATTTGAAATGCTCATCGAAATGCTCAACAAAATTAAGAATGATTTAACAACATGTGATAGCTTTCCATAAGCGATCCTCTTTCTGACTGATGAAGAGCCTCAAGTATATCCGATGTCTGAATTAGAACATTGATCTACCAATTAGAAATCGATGATTACTCTTTTCTGGACAATAGTGAGTGTGGGTCGCTTCATCTCCGACAATCACACCATTTTCTATAATAATAGTGGCTGTCGAACTGACGAAAGTCTAACATATACAGACTTCTTATATTTGATATGCCACATTGCAATTTTTCTCAGTATTCTACGATTATTTTCTAAAGGAGACACCATATATCTACATAATATACTTTCGTAGTGAAAATAGAATCATTTGCTCATCGTTCAGTTCAAGTTACTCAAGTAGTATTATCAATTTTAGGTTTAGTTCAATTTTACGACAGAATTTTCTGACTGAATTTCTTTTGCAACAGCGAGAAAATTGAAATGGTTGGCATTGTCAAAGGATGATGCATTAAACGTTTAACTATTTTGTTTAAGGGTACCGAATGATGCCATTCAAATCGAGATATACATGCGTACTAGCAATTCAATGTGGATATGGATGCGAAAGTGTTCAAGAGAGACACACTCACACCAAGTTGTTTTATCTTATTCGATCTTTGGGATTCTTATTTTTTATTGGTTCCTGGTTTTAGATGCTTAGACTGATGAATCTTAGGTTTTAAATGTATTTGTATTTCTTTGGAACTTGAGTTTTGTGAAATAAGATTGTAAATGAGTGTTGAAGTATAAAGAGCGAGAAAAGAGAAACCCCTTTCACCCTTACTCACAGACCATAACATACACTTCGATATGCTTGTCACGGTCTGTGGCACTAAAAGATATTTTAACATGCTGGTCTCAGTCGGCAATCAATTACGATAGACACAGCGAGATCTCTTCGGAACGGTTAAAATGACTCAATGATGTTTCACATTTCTATTCCATAGGAATTGTGCTAGAAGCTTTTTGTCTAGAAATAACTGAACTGGCATCCGATGAACATTACTTATGACCTTTCATCACTTCATTGATCCAAACACCGCGAATTTTGCTTTTAATGTAACTTTCTAGATCCTAAACTTTTCATTGAAGAAGATAATTTATTTTTTAATTTGCAGTGTACTACTTTATATGATTTTATTTGAAGCTATAAGATCACAAACAACTGTCAACTTGCACATTCTCTCTTGTTCAACAGATTACGAGAAATGCGAGAAATCTCTATACGAATGATTGTTCGATAAAGAAAAGTGAGTGATATATAAGAACTAATGCATTAAAACGTACTACCACACATCGTTTTTCAAACAAGTTCAATCTTTATCAATAGACAAATCTGACTTATTTCCATCGATTATTAATGTATATAACCCACATAACTGGCTACTAATCGTGCTTCATTGTGCAGCGTTTCATTTTGAAGTAAAACAGATCCCAATTCAAATGCGTAAATAGTTGCTTTATAATCATAATTCTTATCGTAACCACTTCTGGCCACTTCACCTGTACCAGGAATAGCAGTAACTCGAGTATTACCCGTCAAGTTTGCACTTCCATCTGAATTCATTCGTGTCAGTTGCCACACAAATGATTTTGACAACATGTTTGTTAATTGCTGTTGAAGACTAGAATCTGGACACACTACTAAATAATTACAAGCTTGATATAAACCATATGCATTATAACTTGAATCGTAGCCGCCCTTCTCTGGATTGAAACCACTTGGATCTTGTAGCGACAAGCCATTCTGTGCGAATGCAGCTGCTTGCGAATAAAATTGTTGTTGAAGCGATGAATCGTTTGTTAGTACAGCAGTTTCGGCGAGAGCAGCAGCCAAAATATACCGTCGATGGGTATAAGGCATGTTATTTTGGATACCTTTGGACAGAACAGCTGGTTGCAAAAGCCAACTAGCTGCTCGAATTAATTTAGGAACAATTTGATCAAAATACGACTGATAAGTAAAAAAATTTGGCGATTGTCGCATGAGTATTAGACACCTGGCTACTGCTTCAACAAACATTGATGTACTATGGAACGCATCTCCGGTGCCCTGCATAGGTGGAGTACAGTTAGAGCAATTGTTGAATCCACCATCAACAGTTTGCTTTGAAAAGCCCCAGTTAAAAATATTTTCACCATTTGATAGCAGATTTGAACGATTGGCATAAATGGCAGCTGTCACATCATCACAACCGAATCGCTGAAGTTCAATATACCAAACTGTCGATGTGTTCTCTTCCCATCGTTGATTGATACCATTGGCACCATCAGCCGCTGCAGCCGTGGGCGATATTCGATTATACCAGACACTCATCAGTAAACTATCATTGTATAATTGATAAGTGTTTGGAACAGGGCTGATCACAGGTTGGCCTGATGTTTGAGCGGCCAATAATAGGTAGAAAGCAACTTGATAGTAACCAGACAGCTTCATTTACGAACTTGTTTCTCACCTTCAGTTTCTTTCTGGTTATAAAAAAAAGAGATAAATTCAATATTGTTCTTTTATTCAAAAGCATTGACTGAGAGAGCGCGTGCGCTTTACGCTCTGCATTAAAGATAACCTCTATATATAAAATTGTGCTGTATTTTGCTTTTTGGCACCTTATATATATCAATGATAAAGTCTTAAGACTCCAATACTGCCTAGCTTCCATCTGAGCGAAGGGTCTATAAATATTTATATATAAGTGAATCATTCTGAAGCCTCTTCTCCAACCACCTTCCTCTCACTAGACGTTCATTCCTTTTTGAAATCGAATATTTTTTTCCTCTAAATTCAGTTTGAGCTGAAATAGCTCATTGTATGGAATATCTGCACTTGTGAAAACCTGTCATATCGACTTTCTGTACTCACACTCTCAAATGATTTCCAAGCGTGACCGAAGCGCAAAAGAACATGACGAAAATTAAATATTGCACTGAAGACATTATTGCAAACACATTCTTCACCAAATACTAAGTTGGAGAGAACTTCTTGCACGAAGAATTACGAAGAACGTAGTTTCCATTGACCATCTTATTTAATTTTCAGCAAGATCAAATCTTTTTGAATGGCTAAAGGATACAAAAGTGAATGGTTTTATTTCTGTAGTGAAACTCACAAACCGCATTGACATTACTAACAACAGACACTTTGTGAGGCGACTGTCTTTATAGTAGCTAATCTCCACTATTTATTTCTTAAGAAAATTTCGAAACATTTTCATCACTAGGAAAATAGCATACTACATGATTAGTGGCACTGCTTAGGACAGAAAAATACGCTCTACATTGATTACTAAAAAAAAAACCATCTAAAGAGACTGCAGTTTCAAAAAACACATACATTTACTTGTTGTATTGGTAAAATATCTTTTGTGCCCACGACAAAAATACCAGTGTATTGTATCGATGTTGTTCTATGGTTGGAAGTAAACCATAATGTTGCTCGTATATACGTTGCAAAATAATATTTGCTTTGCGCATCCAACCGTATCGCGAAAAAACAAGAAGAATATTTTCAAAACGTACCTTCGTTGTTTTTGGTTAGAAATTTTATCATCATTTTGCTTGTTCTCTCATTTATCGTTCGTGCAACTGAATAATTAACGTGCACAAAAAAAATGTACTTTTTTCTTCATAATTAACGCACATCACTGATAGTATATCAATCCTTCATTAGCAATAGCTTCTGCTTCATGTATCCTCCAATGCTTATTTTATGTTGTAGATGCGTTGAAAGGAAAATAAAAAAAAGTAATCAATACTTGAAGTGAATGTTTTGATTAGACTGTTAACAAGCGTCTAGCAATAAAAATCAATAACCATTTATTTTTTTCTCAAATATGATTTTTTTCAAGTATGAATTGAATTGTGCGTTAAAATATTTTCTATGATTTAGTAAATCAAGTACATATTGGTACCATTCTTATTGCTATAAATGTAATATAATTGATTGTCCATTGAAAATTTTTTTTCAAGCTATTCTAACATGTTCACCAAGCATAATATTTTATCAGATATAGCTAATCGAGTTTTCGATCAAATTCAAAAGTCATGTTGATAAACATTAGTACAGTACCTCTATTCAGGTATGTCACGATGCTTTAAAATAACGCTACCGCTCGATCATTCAATTATCTATAGGATTCATTATATTGTTGTGAATTAATATGAATTTTACTATATCTTTCAAGAAAATGACTTTAAATTCATGTTGTCTAACTCATACAAGTATTGAAAATATGCAAATTCCAACAATAAACAGACTGCTGTTGTTTTAAATCAAACATATTTGATTGCAACATATTCTAGTCTGTTTAACTATGTTTATACTCTTTTGAACAATCAAAACTTGTTTTTCCAATAGTGCAGACATTTTCTGATATCTTTTTTTATTTCACAGCTACTACAAAATATTTATAAATACAGGGAATAAAATATATATATTTAACAAAATACATTTGTTTATTTTAAATATTCTGATGGATACTGAAAAAGAATTCCATTAAACAGAAACTCAGCGAAGTGCAGTGGCGATACAAAATGATATTAACTGATATAGTTCTCTCTCTCTCTCTTATATATGAAAATACATGTATATGTAAAAGAAAAAAGAAAAGGAAAGATAATAATTTCAATAAAATTGAATTTCGGCTGAATTGAACCGAAGATTTTACAAACATCAAGTTTCATTACAGAGAAAGGGATCTGTAACAAATATATATACTAAGAATGGATAAAGAAAGTGTAGCAAATTTCTTATTTTTACTCGACTACTCATTAGTTTCAGCTAGTGCGTCCTTTTACAGACTACATTTCCGTATGAAGTACTCATATATATATATAAGTATCAGTTAATTATCGTGTTGTAATAATTCTTAGTTGATAACGATAACATTACTTTCTTTTTAAGGTTCAAGGAATATATAACCATGAACATTTAAGTTAAGAAAATATCACCTAAATGATATTTCGAAATAGATCGATAAGCAAAGCCTAAAAATGTCATTGAAATTGTCCATTTTCAAATGATGGGTAGATTATTTCTCTCAATTTTAGGTTCTCTTTGTCATGTAAGTCTTGTAAGTTGAGAGTAAAACTGGATTTAATAAGATGGTAAATAATTATTATAAAGTATTACTTAATATTGTTCTATTAAAACGGGTGTATCATATAAAATGTAGTTCCTATATATCAGCACTGAGCGACGACAAAAAATACCTTGAACGGCTTTTGATTAGCGGAATAAATTGACTAACTACTGAAAATAAACTAGTCCTCTATCATCCGAAATTTCTTATTCTGAAAACGAAAATATCCACATTCTTAACATTATTTCTACTACAAATTTCTAGTTCGTTTTTAAAATTATTAATGACGTTTTAAGCATGTCTTCAATAAAGGTTTTTAGAGGACTATTCTTAGAAAAAAATAAAAACTTTTAAACCTTTATCTTAAGTTTCGAATTCGGTTCGGTTCGGTTCGGTTGAAAGTTTTGAAAAATTCGATCGGTTTGGTTCGGTTCGGTTTGAGATTTTTTCGGTTCGATTCGGTTCGGTTCCAAAAAAACACGAACCGATCCCATCACTGATATTTAAGCAGAGAGAGCGTAGACGTGGAAGACAATGCAGAATTTGTACGAATCCGTTGCTTTATGGTTCTGTTTTCGACGTACCTTGCACAAAACTAGTGATTCGTGATAAATCAACACAACGGCTGATGTATTCGAGTGACAGGCCAAGCTATTGTTCTACGATTAATGTATGAATATGAGTGAATCGGCACACATGTTCTTTTGACATCGGTAAATGCCAATCAAAAAATCAGATATTTAATATGTGGAAATGTCATTGGTTCTAATCCAGTTGATGCAGACACCAATGTTTTTTTCATAAATGGTAATGGGTAACGATACTCTATACAGCATGGATTTGTATAGAGAAACGAAATAGAAGTATCCATCCATTGATCAAATGTCACATATCATTTCTTTCCTTCGAGCCAGAATTGCGTAAGAAAAGAGTCAAGATCAATATTGTCTTCCTTCGAAATTCCAGACATGAACTAAAATACGATGATTCTAGTCAACAATGGTATCCATGCATGATCATTAATCAGATTACTTTCCGCATCATTCACATGAAGAGTAAGATGAGTGAGGCGTGTCATGGATGAGAGCAGACGTCTAATCTCATGCATAGTTATCCGATTGATCGTGATCGATAATTGTTGTAAATTGAAAGGTGGTTGAAAACTTATCTCGTCGTAAATAGATTGATTAACAAACTGTTTTGCATCTAGTTGGCGTAGCATCGGTGCAACGACAAAGACATCATGCAAATTAATCCGAATACCTGTTAGTGTTAGACATTAAATAGAGGATGTTTGCATCAAAAAAAAGAAGATGACGAAGTAGTTATTGTTTCATTTCGACACAACGATGTATAGAGAAAAAGATGTTTTAGTGATCTGACAGTGAATAAAAGATCGTGAAAAATGAGCGACATCAACGCTGATACTGATTCTTTCCAATCATAAACATAGACGATAGACATTGATCTTAACGCCATAAATGATGGCAGCCGAGTTCGTATCAAGTTCCAAATATTGGAATCGATTTTATTGAGAGTAATCCAATGTAAATTCGAAAAAATGTCATTCACAGTAATTGAGTATAAAAAACGGACGATTTTTGTATTTGTTATTCTATTACAGAGATGTCCATCGCGGCTGAAAATCTGCCGCTGCCGCGCCGCGGTCTTAGAAAAAAAAAGCTGCCGCACCGCAGCCGCGCCGCGACGGTTTATAAAAAAATGTTGCCGCGCCGCGATGGCTTATAAAAAAAACGTTGCCGCGCCGCTGCCGCGATGAATTATAAAATAAACGTGCCGCCGCCGCGCCGCTGCCGCGGCGGTTTACAAAAAACTGTTTCTAATTTCACTGCTGCGACTATATTTAACAAGAGATATTGGTACTAGTCCATCAGATTCATTCAGTCTCGGGGTGTTTCATTTGTAAACCCTGAAATTCTATTAAATTCATGCAGTTTTTCAATGTTCCCAAAAAAAATCCTGCCGCTGCCGCGCCGCTGCCGCGATGGTCTTTTAAAAAACCTGCCGCTACCGCGCCGCTGCCGCGATGATTTTTAAAAACTCTACCGCTACCGCGCCGCTGCCGCGGTGATTTTTTAAAAAACCTGCCGCTGCCGCCACAGGCCATCGCGGCAGCGGCGCGGCAACGCCGCGATGGACATCTCTGTTCTATTATCGTTATTATCGAAGGTCAATGAAGCGATACGAGATGCCAGATTGGCCAAACCATTACAGAGAAAATCGAATTGTTTCGTCTTTTTGGCTATGCTATTGAAATCGAGTCACAGACGAGAATAGACGAGAGAGATAGAATAAAGACGTCTGTTAACGAAACACACTGACAAGAGAATATCAACAA